GTTTCATTGCCAATTTTGTGAACATGATAACCTGAGTAAATATAAACAGAAATTTTAAATGCAACTTGGTGTGCAGCCTTATATCAATACAATTTCAGAGGAGTCTGACAATGGGACAGATTTGATAATATTTTTTACAGAGTTATGACCCTTTTGAATTGTATTACCATTGGACATTGTGAACATGGTAATTTGAATAAATCAGGACAAATTTTGATGAAAACTTGGCATGCAGCCTTATATTAATAAGATGTGGAGTGAATGACTATAGAATTGATTTGATCACTGTTTGCAGAGTTATAAGACTTTCATAATTTTATTACCTTGGACCTTGTAGACATTATAGCATAGTAAATATTAACAAATTTCAATGAAACTTTGTTTACAACCTTACATTAATAAGATCTCAGATGGGATTCACAAAGGGACCAATTTGATTGTAACTTGCGAAGTTATGGCTCTTTGCATTTTAAGCTCACTAGTCAGGTGACACTGTTCAGACACCCATGGACTTTGTTCATCATGTAAACCATATTTAAAAAAGAAAAAGAAGAAGAAAATTCCGATATTAATTTCACTATAAGATCAACTTATTTCAATAAAAGCAGTTTGTTTTTCACTATTGAGACAATTATGTGATGTCATTAAGTTGTGACTTATTTATGACATCATACATGTGTTTTATGATATCAATGACATGACAGTATGACATATATTACACAATAGGCCAGTTAAATACATATGATCAATTAGAATCTGTACAAGATGATGTTGAATATAGCCATGGTGGATATATACTGTAGAATCTAATGTGGTTATGTCTGTCTGTAGTAAAACCTGTATGTAATTATGTACAGCAGAACGCCATTGGTGGATTTTATTTAGATTTTCTGCCTACTTTAAATACAATGTATTACAATGTCTATACTTTCAAATTCCTTGCATAGTAATTCTAATGAACCAAGATTGAATAATATTCAATGATTACAAAAGACGTCACACATTTAGGCACATACAACAAACTAGTTAAAACATGCGTTCTACATGAACTAATTGAGTGTCTACAATTTGCATATAATTAGTATCAATGAGATGTCATTATTGGAACCGTGAATGTGGCAGGCAATTATTTGGATGATCTTACTCTGTGTTATATGCATAAATTACCCCTCCATGTAATATTTAACATTTACAGTTTGTATAAAGCAATCTATTGTCTTATATATCATGGTACAGCATACCATTTGCCTGTATATACATGTGTATTATCTTTACACTCGGCTGTGTGTAGCCTCATACATTTGACTAAATGTATGTGTATTATTATGACGTGTGGCTGTAATCCAGAGTTTTCTCAGTATCAGTAACACAGTCAACCAGGGATATATATTCCTACATGTTACATGCATAATGGTTGAATTCCCTAGCCACTCCCCAATACTGAAGTGTTCACTGGCCAGCTGTTATGATGTGATCAATAACTTGTGTTTGTGTTGACGATTCACTTCAATTTGAACAAAGCTTCAGTGTGGACAGAGGAAGCAAGCATTGATTCTAGGCCCAAAGGATCAGGGCTTCAATATACAGCTAAACACTGCAATTTGGTAGATCAATATACTGTGATCCAGGAGTCATTTCACATTACATCTATACTGCCAGGTCAAGGTCATCTCTGAAGGACAGAGGCAGGATAAAGGTGCTATATATTGAATATCTGTAGGAAATAGATGATATAGGCATCCTGAGTTTAATGTTATAACTTTTGCTGGCCATATAGGGTCACTTTAGCATCCCCAAATTGACTATGTATTATGTATTTAATATCTTTGAATTGAATTATTAATCATCAGCTCATCTCTATCAAAGTTGTTATGAGATTACATGAGGCCTCAGTGTCTGTTTCGTTCATGACTCCTTTTTAAATTCCATAAAGCATATAAACCCTGTGTTTTATAGCAAATATTGATACCTAGCCTGCAGCTTATATGTGAATGAAGCAACTTTATGGGAGCTGGATGATCATTATATTCCAGTGCTGAATTTGATCTTCATTCAGTATGACGATCAGAGATATGTGATGCACAAGTGTACCAACATTGTCTGTAGACATCATGTTTCAGCACACACTTGGGTATATATATAAGTTTGCAGTTTCAGTGACAAACATTAGTTATTGACTTTGTTGGTTGAGAATAAATGTAGTTCCTGTTGTTCAAAATTATTTATGTGTAATGCTCTGCAGGTAGGGCATAAGAATGGTACCTACAGCCCCTCATTGTATAGTCTTAATTTTTCTCTTCTCTCTAAACGTTTTCCTGATACTGCCTTACCTTTGGCCTCTAGTTGAGCATAAGTCTCTTTGAGAAAGACACTGGGCTCTGTCCCCTGGGCAAGGCATACCAGAATCTTTCCAAATGGTGGTTACATTTCTCTTCCTAACACCCAGCATTAAGGATTTTAACAACTAGTTTTACTGTTATATGACAATATAATCAAGTGATTGTTTGGCATCTCCTGCTGGTTTTATTTGACACCCTAATTCTTTATTATGGTAGCATTATTAAGTTTGGCTTCAGTTCCACACTATCATAAGGAGGCTTTCACAAACGTGTTGTAGCCTCCCACAAGCATTCACACTAGTAACACATGCTCTCATCCCTCATAAGTTGGGCTGTTCTTTCATGGTCAAAGATGTTGATAGGAGGTAAAACCAAAACCAAACATTCCTTTATGTAATGTTGAGATTTTGTCCAGCGTTGTGCCTCGTGTGTTGTACATTGTAAACTTTTAACATTTTCAACATGCTGATATTAGGTCTGCAGCATGCTGGGATGAAAGGCTAACAACTTTGTTAAAATGAATGACTTTGAACCACTTTCAAGGTCACAAGGGCCAAACGTGTTGAAATAAGTTCTTGTCAATAACCGAAAGGCTCAGGGTGCTGATATTGTGCCTGTTGTATTCTGGCATGCAAGGCTACCAAGATGTTCATATTGTTGACCTTGACCCACTTTCAAGGTCACATGTATTGAATATGTCCAAATCTTAAACAATATTTTCTCAATAAGCAAAAGGCCCAGGGTCAAGATATTGGGCCAGTAGCCTGCTGGGATGAAGGGCTATCATGCTTGTTCAGATGAATTATCTTTACCCTCATTCAAGGTCACAGGGGTCAGTCAAATATGCTAAACTACAACAGAGAGTGTTATCAGTTCTGTTTCATTGAAAGTTCAGCCTTCACACTTAGAAACGATAAAAACTTTGTAAGTATGCATATATCAGTTATGTCCTGTCTACCCAAATGCTGGAACTGATGGACAGGTTCTAAAACTTTTCAAAGACCTGAAGACCTCAGGTCACTGTCAAGGCCCATGGACCTCCTGATTGAAATTATGTATTTTTATTGGAAATAGTTCAGACATGGTTAGAATTATATGTTTAAGATGATAATTTGATGAGATGCACATATTGACCTCAGCTGACCCTTGCGGGCTATTTGGCAGTATCAAAAATGGGTCAAATTGACTGAAATTTAAAGAAAATTCTTCTCAATACCCAGATAATGTAGAATCAAATACTCTTCATGGATGGAAGTGTCTTACCAAAATTGTAAATTTCATGATGCCAGGGTCTCGCATTTCCCCTTGGAGGAGGGTAGAATTTACTATAGTTTATATAAGAATGTAATATTTTTGAGTATAATTTATTTAATTCTTTCAGAAATAGTTCAAACTTAATTAGAACTATTAGTATAAGCTGACAATTTGATGAGATGCACATGATGACCTCAGCTGACTCTCCAGGGGCTGAGGTGTGGGGCCAAAAATGGGTTAAATTGACTGTAGTTTCAAAAATCTTTTTTCATTACCCAGATAAAGTAGAACCAAACAATCCTCATGAGTGGAAGTGTGTTATGGTGCTTTAGCAAAATGGTAAATTTCAAGACCCTAGGGTTTCACTTTTTTTCCCTGGGGAGGAGGTAAAATTTATAGGAAAATTACATTTTTTAGCATATTTTATTTATTTTCTTTTAGTTCAAACTTGGTTAGAATTATTAGTATAAGCTGACAGTGTGATGAGATACACATACTAACTATGACAGACCCCCAGGACTGATAAGCAGAGCCAAAAATGGGTCATATTGACTGAAATTTCAAAGATCTTTTATTGTTCCTTGATGGATTTTGTTATATATTTCTGTATATTTTCTGTAAATTCAAACTTGGTTAGAAGCCTTGGCATGGAACAGCAGTTAATGTTATGCACAATTTACATTTGGATTATGTGTACCATGTAGTTGAAGTTATCTTTTTTTTTTAACAAAATCATTTCTATGACATGCTACAAGAAGCATTGTGACTCAGGTGACCATTAAGGCCTTTGGGCCTCTCGTATTTAATTGCTGTACATGTAGATACCGTGAGGTGAAAGAAATTCCTTTGGGTGGGAGGAAGTAGAATAGGTAGGTCAGGGAAGCTGATGAAAGCTCCTGAAAGTTTAGTTCACATGTTGAACAACAGCTCAGAGGCCCTCAGTGAGAACCTGTGATAGTTTAGTGCATATTTACAACAAAAACTCAGAGGCCCTGAGTCAGAGCCCCAGGTAGGATTAGTTTACTCCTTTTGCAATATCATGTGAAATGAAGACAAAATCAAATTTCTGTTATTCAAAATTCATTAATTACAGGTTGAGTTATCTTTCACAATTTCTTATTTACACAATACTGCAGTGTTTTGTAGGGCAAATGATCAAAGAAAGGAAGAAGGATGCAAGCTAAAATATTGATAACATGTTACATAAATTATGTTACAAATAAATATTTGAAACAGTTTACGGTAGAAAATTGCTTCGCAATATAGCATTACTAAATTAAATATTTCAAGTATAGATATCGCATTTTAATCTTAACATATATTTTTGAAAGAAATGTCTCTGTTTTCACCCAGCGAAACAGATCAATTTTATGCTCTTTAACATAGATTTCTTTTGTGTATTTGCAGGTTACTGCTTTTTACTTTTTCAAGATGAGATGTCAGTCCAAGCTTTGATTGAATCCTGTATCGTGGATGATGACAAATTGTACTGGTGTGTTTCCAGTCCTACGATGAAAGATAAACCTGTAAGTACAATATGCAATCCACATTTTCTAAGGTCGTGACAAATTCTAAATCACCATTTTTAGTAAGAGTCATCTAGCCACAAATATGTCAGTTTTCAGGAAAGAATATGGATGTAGAAATGACTACCTGTCAAAATGGGTAAATGTCTGTCTCAAGCATTTTTGATAAAGTTTCAGTGTACCAGTCATGTTTGTTCTGCTTCTACTTCACTACTTTGCTTTGAATAAAATTCTTTCACCAGATTGAGATGGCAAAGAAATGTTTTGAGATATTGGACAGTAAGTCTTGGTAAAATGATATGGCTACAAAAGATGATGGAGGACTTGGACCTTACATCAATTTCTTTTGCTGGTACCAATAAAACATAAGTAACAGATCTAGAGAATGAAAAAAAAAAGAAAAAAAGGACATCCAGCATTGGGCTGATACCGTATTTTCCGGGTTATAAGTAGCACCGGTATATAAGCCACAGAGCCAATTTAAAAAAAAAAATTCGATTTGATCCACATATTAGCTACACAGGAATATAAGTTTTTAAATTCTTGAACTTGTTTCACTTGGGAGCTTCCAAAGACTGTCTATGCACAGATGTAGGGCCTGATGTTACATACAGTTTACTTAACAATATCTCTATCAGTGTTTATACTGTTAAATATAAGTGAAGGCTCTTGTATGCTGACAAAATTCTTATAGTCCCACATCATTTCTTGTAAGTTACACAAAGCCATTCTTATCGTAAACAAGCACAGCAGTTGTTCTAGAATTTGACCTATAACCTGATGACCTATCAATCCCAGGATGCAACAGGCTATTTTAAATTTCTGCTATGGCTTCTGAAGCTACCACTAAAGTTCAGAAGATATTAAATCTAGCAAAGTCATGAAGATTTTGCCTTAATCTTGTTCCCTTTATTCAATATAAAGTCCTTTTCTCTTCCACAAAAATACAGCATCTCTATCAAGTTTTAATGTTTTATGCAGCATTATAAAATTATTTCGCTGTGATTTTGTAAATTAATAGTGATATGGATGTTGTTTTAGGATGTAAACTCAAACTTTGCCACTGTGTTGCAGGTTCAGATCCGGCCATGGAACTTAAGTGATTCTGACTTTGTGATGGATGGGTCCCAGCCACTTGACCCAAGAAAAACTATTTTTGTTGGAGGAGTTCCTAGACCTCTGAGAGCAGGTGTGTTAAAATGAAAAAAATATTTTTGTATTTCCTGATGATAAAACCTGAATAAAGGAAAGAATATCTTCCACAGGATGGAAGTATCATATTACCATTTGACAGGTATTGGTCAGTCTCGAGAATTGGAGAATTTTTCAGAACTTAATGTCATTATTCTATGAAATAATGTCAATGACAACAAAATTATCTTTTGGCTTAATGCCGATATTGAAAAAGGTTCAGTAAAAATGTGTTTTGATCAGTTTATTTTAGGATACAGTACAATTTCTCATTGCTTCAATCACAAGTAATACAGTTAACAATAAATGTACTATTGCTCATGTCAGTAATATCTGATTTCAAGACATTTCCATTACAGGTCATTGACTAATATTTTCATTCCTGTAATTTGATCCCAACTGGGAGTGGTTTGTATTTCTTAGGAAGCTGAGATCACAGACCTTCCTGTGTTATCAAAGCTGTGTCCATGGGCATGACACTTTACCCATCTGCTCTGGGATGGCATGTGACTGGCCTCCCATATGTTGTTCAGTGATGTTACCACCTATTACATGGAAACCCTGTATCAAAATGATTTAAGCTATTCACACATCAGTGAACCAAAATGAACTTTGTTGTAAGCAAAAAGCTTGTAAAAGCATGCAGTCTATTCAAATTGCTTGGAATTGCATGTTATGACATGAACTTCATAGTGTTTGTAGAATTAGCCTTGCCATACTCCCTTAATACAAAAGGATTGATCTGTTACAGTGGAGCTGGCTATGATAATGGATAGGTTATACGGCGGTGTATGCTATGCAGGGATTGACACCGACCCAGAATTGAAGTACCCAAAGGGGGCAGGAAGAGTGGCATTTTCCAATCAACAGAGCTACATTGCTGCTATCAGTGCAAGATTTGTCCAGCTACAGCATGGGGAAATAGATAAAAGGGTAAAAAGCAAAATGTTTTTCTTGTCAAAGTTGTGATATTGATCTTGTGTCTTTAGTTCCTATTAATGCCACCATGGATAGCACACTCTCTTTTCACCAGATAGTTGGGTTTAATTCCTTGATCAGAAGTGAAAAGATATGAAGCCAAGATATTGATTGTTTTTACCATACAAGACCCTCTGCTTCCTTTTAGGTCTAAAAGATTGATGTATATAAGATAATGATGTTCAGAATTAAAGCAAAATGTCCATTTGGTGGCACATATTCATTATATGTACACTGAAATGTCCAAAGAAAAATCAGTTTGACAAGTTACAAATTTTGGGTAAGCTTAAATTAGTATCTGTTGAAAGTCTGTTGTGTAACATTGGAGTCTTTCTACAGGTGGAGGTGAAACCCTATGTATTGGATGACCAAATGTGTGATGAGTGCCAAGGTGCCAGATGTGGAGGAAAGTTTGCACCATTCTTCTGTGCAAATGTCACTTGCTTGCAGTATTATTGTGAGCACTGTTGGGCCCAGATCCACTCTCGGCCAGGAAGAGAATTTCATAAGCCACTGGTAAAGGAAGGAGCTGATCGACCCAGAGCTGTACCATTTCGATGGTGTTAAGGCTTGGTCAGGAATGTGAAAAGCTGCCTCGTTCAGATATTCAGAGTCGCCTGGTGAAGCTAATTTATAATTTTTAAAGGAAAGAAGATGAGACAGATTAGATTTTGAAATGTGAAGTATTTATGAGATCATTTGATACAAACAACATTTATATATTTATCTGTAGATATTCTGTTATCCATATTTTTTATTTTAGTCAGAATTTAGAGTTAATATATTTATTACAAATATTGTATTGTGATTTCGTCAGTGCTGCACTGCCACAACATTATGTGGATATAGTTATTTGATATTTATGCAGTCTCCTTGCAAAACTGTGATTGTGTCTGGCAAATTGACAGGACCACAAGTATTTACTTGTAGTCACAGGGTGAGAAGCTTTGCCCTAATCTCCTAGCAGAGGTATGGTTATAGATGTTTAGTGCTCTCGTAATACTGTGTGTTGTCTGGTTCAGAACAGCAGTATTGCCAAAAGCTGTTCAGCTTATGTTCAGGACAACATCACAGCCTGTACAACTATGTTGTGAACTGTTTTCATCAGGTTTTAAGGTTTCTGTCAATCTTTACCATGGTTTATGGGATTTTGAACTATTTTATTTGCCTTGTAGCATATTTATTCAACAGTAGCTTATTTAGTAGAGTGTATTTTTATTTGAAAATTATATTCTGTCACTTTTTGAATTGTCAGTATAAAGAGCAAGTGCACACATCTATAAACATACTTTTGCAGGTGGTTGAAAACAGTCAGTTTCAACTGATATGCTATTAGATAGGTATGCTGTGGTTCAGATTTTTTGTATGTTTTTTGTGGATAACATATCCACACCAATATGGTTAGCACTATACTTACTAAATGACAACTTGTCTCGCACAGCCAGTCCAGACACACCTGGACATGGCCATCTGTACAGAGGAACATGTTCTAGGGCTGGAGACAATCTGTCAGAAAATCACAGCTTATGTGAAACATGCAGTCGTTCAGTCTGCACACTGTATAAGGGTTGGTTACTCTGTAGAGGGGATGCTTTTCATTATGGATGGGTTGACTTGCTCAAAGGGTTTAGTCTTCTTCTTACTTACAAAAAAGGTTTACCCTTTTTGTGCAAAGAGTTAAACTACTACTTCTAGCTGTATGTACTAAAAGATCTTTACTTTCCAAGATGGGATATGTTTACCCATACATTCAGGAGAGGACAAAACATTGGTGGAACGATCCACTGGATGACAGAAAGTATACCCATTATACAAGAGGGTTTAGCTCACTTTACACTGGAGATGTTGGCGTTCCAGTATTCAATATAGGTGTAACTACCTCTGCATTAAGGAGAAATTGAATTTACCCATAATACAAGAGGAAAGACCTGTCCTTTGCAGCATACCATAAGTGTAGAGATATGTTAGAGGAACTATCCTGTCCAAAATGTGGTTATTTTCAACTCTTACAATTATGAGGGGTTGTGTATCTTAACATGCAAGAACATTTCCCGCAGAGAGTTAATGAGTACTATCTAGTCATAATGAAGTGTTTCACTTTCGACAGTGGGCATACATTTTCTGGTCATTTTAATGTTTTTTTTACCGGATTGTACTACATAGAAATTGTGACTATGTAGAAATGTTGCAGGGAATTTTCTTATGATGGAACATGTTCTTGATAGATTTCAGCATTTTAAATTTTGTATTTAAAGGTTTATATAGGCATTTTTATACTTTTGTGCAAATTTAAGATTTTAAAAAGTTATTGCATGCAAAGTTATATGTTAATTAGTTTCCTAATTACTGTTTTACACATCTTTTGTCATGTTCAACAGATTTCTACTGTGATTTTGTCCAGTTTGTATGGTTCATTGTTTCATGTTCATTGTTTTTGCAGGCCAGTGTGTTTGTGTGTGTGAAGTAAATGCAAAGTGAAACAATCTTTGATATTTTTTCTCCACTTCATATTCAATAACATTTTATAACAAAAGATGATGAGGTTTTTAAACATGAATACACTTGATTAAGTGAGAGAGCTGCCAAATTCTCTGTAGATTCATAAATTATTTTATATTTGTGATAGATCAAGGTTTGTCATTGATGTCCTAACTTTAAGATACCTCATTCTGTCACATTGGTGATTCATGTTTCACACAGAGACTTTTGTATAATTCTGATTTATCATAAATTTGCTGATACTTTACGAGTACAAAATTTCTTCTGTCATTTACAACTCCAGTCCTTGAAACTTGATTTATGCAATACAGTAATCTAATTTTGATTAAACATTTTTGGTTTTTGTATTTGTTAATAATAGGAATTAGGAACATATTTGGAAGCTAATCCAGTGTATATACTAAATATTATTTATTTGATAAAGCATATAAGATTGACTTTAATTGACTAGCAGAGTACCGACTTGGATACTATATCTAGTTAACAATAGATTGTTGCTATAGGGAAAAAGCTCAAAAAGTATTTCAGATAGAAGCAAATTAGAAAAATTTGATACATATTTGATTATTAAGGAAATGAAAATCCAGAATGTGAATTTTATAGTTGAACTGTAGTGCTAGATTGTTTGTATATTTTGATCTTTTTATTATTGAAATGTGTGAGTGTAATTTATTAAATATTTAAATACCATCAGGGGGTGAGTATTTTTACTTCTCTTTATATGTTATGTGTGAAAGGAACTGTAAACGTCCTGTTAAAAAACTTGGGTTGTGGAAAACAGGAGATAACTTCATTTGTAGTGAATAGGTATTCATAGTTTTCATTTGCTCAAAAAATTTAATAGATTATGTAGTTTGTTACACCTTTCATAAGTTATCCCCCTTAGTCCAGATCCCATACCAGTATATTATAACCTATTTATAAACATTAAGATTTTTATTAAATGGTGTATTCCAGATATTTTCACATATCATACATTTTCTGCATGCTTAAAACATTATCCCTAAGTGATCATCCCTAGCTTTTTATGTGTGTAGAGGCAATCCCTTTAACTCGCATCTGTCTTGGAATGCCAAACACTTTAGTTTGGTGTAATGTAGATGTTGTTGTATACTGTGTAATTTGTCCAATGGATGGAATTGGGTTCATGAATTATAAATATCTGTATGGATAATGTTATATGTCACTTCCAGTTTGAAACACTATACCCGTCTGTAATTATGATGTTATCAATTATGATAAAAGAAGAAAGCCTTTTTATTTTTATTCTCAACATTTTTTATACGTAAACAAGTAATTATTTCATCTGTAATCTGCCAAATATAATTTCAGTAAATAAAGAATGAATCATATTTTTGTTACTATTGCATAAGGGAAATCATTTTAAAATCAAACTTGATGTTGTCCAATATTGTATATTAGCAGAAATAGCGAAAATTGTACACATATTTCATTGTTACAAGTGTTATAAAGCATGTATCTTTCTATTTCCACTTTGTAATATTCCAGGTTTTGTACTACACTTCATAAAAATGTGTAAATAGTGGATGCAAAATGATAAAAAAAAAATGTAAATGGTAGACTTATTTTTGTTTAAGGTGCTATTGTTTTGTATGAAGAAAAGGAAAGCTTAATTTATATTTTTTAATTTCTTTGTTGATATGTTATTGTATTTTGTACTTTTAAATTGATTAACCATCTGTCTATTATCTGTGTTGATACAAGCAATGTCGTACTCCTGTGATTCTCCACTGCCGGTTTATATGTGTGTAGATCTGTAGGGAAATGCTGTCTACAACTGCCATTATTCTCCGGTCAGATGTTTCTTTAGTTCAGTTAATTTATGTTTATCTAGTAATACAAAAATGGACAGATTATTTTTTTTTTTTATCAAAATTTTCGTGGAAAGAAGAGTAAAAGAAAGAATTATATTCTAGGTGTTTTTTTTTTTTTTAGCTCTATTCATGGAATTTGTTATACAAAAGAATATAAATCAATGTTCAAATATAGATTATTTAGTGGCTGTTGTTAATATGTAGAATTCCCCCACCTTGCATTCCAGAATGATTATACCAAACAAAATTGTAATGTACAGTAAAAATAAAGATACTAACATTTAACTTAATATATATTTAAGTCCTGAAGTAACTATCTTATTTTTGTTATTATTATTTTTTTTTATGCTTCATTTGATATTCAGTGTTTGTTAAAAAAAAAAAAAGAAGTAAATGCAGTCGCTTGATTAATAAAAAAAAGAAGCCTCTGGTAATTAAGTGTTTTGTAGAATATCATTACTAATTGACATTTCTACATGTATGATGTCCAACGGAGCCGAGATTGGCTGATATGTATACCTTATGGAAAGGGTGTTTTAGCATGTCTGTGATTAATGAAAACATGCGGTGTATTACTGACCACTTCTGATCAGTAACAGAAGAGCAGATTGGTGAGTTGGCTTTTAGGAGAACCATCTAAGTGTACCGCGGGACAAATGAAGTCAGTGACAGCTAATTTTGGAAGTATTTGAAATAATCTTTGTGTCACACAAGGCTCATTATTAGGTGTTAGTGCCTTTTGTTGATGAATGACAAGTAGATATTTATTTACTGATACCACAACTTGTAGTAAATTATGTATTTGTACAGTATATGTTTTTTATATTACTTTTGACAGTTTTGTTTCGCCTAATTTGCCTTTTTTATATGAAGTTTTCTTGGTTGTTTTCAAGACAGCGTCACTTAAATTTTGTGATAGAGAATGTCAGTTCTGATCCATTAAAGATTTTATTTTTTGTTGTGAACTATTGGAGATGTTCATTCAAAATGAAAGATTAAATTTCTTCGTCACTTACATAAGGTGATTCTAGATCTAATTTCAGTCTAAAAACAATTAACGGTATTGTTCAATATCATTAACCACCAAAACAGTTTAGGCGAGGATTACACTACCTCATATTGGAAAAATACTGGTTGAGTGTTAATTTATTATTATACCTCACACCTTTTGCCTTTTATAGGTTGGTACTCCCAAACTATATGGGATTCTCAAGGGGAAAAATCAGTACCTTATAAAAAATGTGATGAGCAAGATAACTTACCTAACCCTGATGAGTTCTACTAAAAGCCAACATGGTACATTTGTATATAGGTAAACCAATTAAAACTGGCTATTTTGAAATGGTCTCAACCAGGAAGTAGAACTGATGATATTTTGGTAGTTTAATTTTAGTTTAGAATGTTGAATTATCTAATATGTTTATCTACTTACAAGTACATAGTTATGTAGATAAAATGGTTAAAAGGTAAAATGGTTTAAATGGTAAATGTAGATCCTATTCCATAACGTAACTAAGTTCAATTAAGGAATATATATAGTACAAGCCTGTTAAGAAAAAAAATCAGTGTTTTTGATTTAATATTCAGATTGAACATTGTCTTCCGACATTTATAAATGATCTTAATTGGATATTCTAAATAATTTCATGAGGTAAGGTGTTGACATTTTTTGTTTGTTGGAATATATTTTTGGGAGAAGTTATGCAGATTGCAGGGATTACTGTAAAAAAAAAAAGTACTGCTACATGGTTTATATATATATATCTTGAAATGTAGGGCACTACTTGTAAATTGAATTTGTATTTTCCGTTTTGATATGAGTTGATTAATGTTTATTTATTAATTAGATTTATTTTTTCATACTTTTTATGTGGTTTCAATTTAACATGAACTTGCGATACCATGTAGTATAGTCTACAACAATTCCAGTACTATGATAAGGAAGGATTCAGAATCAATACATCATAGCCATGCAAGTTCTCCATGGGAAGTTATGAGAAATTACATTTCAATTTCTTTTTAATCTTCTGATTTCTTTTGTTATTGTTATCTACAAGTGGTGATGAGTTCCTCAGTGCAGGACTGTGTGTTGTGTGTATTACCTTGCCACTTTCAGGCATTACATTGTGACGTGTGACAGTAGAAAGGTGATGTTTAAACCTAGATGTTTATCTGGGATTGATTTTTTTAAAACAAATGATTAGAAGATTTTATTTTTCACTGATATTCATGTATGCACAAACATGTTTAAAAAAAAAAAAAAAAAAAAACTATTGCCTTGCATGCTAGGTTTTGATAACTCTACTTACTGCAACCGTTAGCAAATGGATTGATGAAAGTCAGATCTTTATACTTTTATATTTATAAATTTTACTAAAATGCAGAATAAAGAAGAAAAATTCTTTTGAACATGATGAGATAAAATTAATAGTCCAGATATTCATTCTATGTCCATTCAGCTACCCTATTGAACCTCAGTGAACTTCAGTGAGAAATATTAAACCGGGTTTATTGACTTTGCCTTGATGTTTTAGGGCAACATTGCTGATGGGTTTTACTTGGCCTCCTATGGGATTACTCTGAAACTTATGTAGAATTACTGTATGCTAACCTATAGAAAATCATTGGACCTCCTCAAGAAATGCTATGTATGATTTTTTCCCCAGATCTCCCAGAGAATTGCATACACTTGTCTATGAAGTTTTTACTGGACTTTCCAAGGAAATACTACATATATAATTTTCCTGGGCCTCTCAAAGAAATGCATGTACATGTATCTTGTACGGAATTTTCCTGGGCCTCCAGGACAAATTATACACAGGGGATTTTCCAAGACCTCATAGAGAAATACATGTATTATAAATAAAATGTTCCTGACCTGTCCCTTTATAGGTCTATGAATGGTACTGTATTTTGGTCAATAGTATTTCACTGAGCCTTCCAAAGCAATGTATGTTGGCCTATGGACACATAGAAGACAACTGTCTATTCATAATTTGGAAAGTGTTGTATGCTAACCTATAGGAGGCTTGTTAGTCTATAGATATCCCTGGGCTTCACAGAGAAAAAGATCAATTTTTTTATTATCAAACATGATTTGCCAAACAGTGTACAATTTTTTGTATGAATTTTGGATTATGTGCAACTTTGCCAAAGACATACTTGCCAGAATTTAGTCAAGCTGCAAAGGGACAAACTCTGTTTTATATCCAAGTTTGTCAAAGGAAACTTTGCTAGCTAATACCGTATATATATCTGCATCAGTCAACAAGCAACATATAGCCCAATGGATGTCAATGATGACACACCATTGTTAGTCACATGAAGAGCAGAATACCAGTGTTTGAAGTTGGCAATTTTTAAGGTTATTCTTTGTAAAACAGAGGACCAGTATAGGATTTGTAAGGTTTGGTGTTGTGTAGTATGAAGGTTTGTTGTCAGAGAGAATAGGGTCTCATGTTATGGGTGTGGTATCTGCTCTTCCTGTTCCCAACAGTGTTCGCACTAATGGGAACATTATCCACAAGTGCAATATCTACAGTTACACTTTATTTTCGTTATTGATTTGTTTTGTACATGTATCATGTTATATAGAGCTATGTATAGCAGTACACTTGCCTTCTTATTTTCTTTGTTTATGCTTAGTTTCATAGTTAAAGGAAATTATAAGAGTGACTATATATTTATTTTTAATTTATACAGCTTTTGTTATTTTAGAGCACAGAATTTTTTGATTTAGATTTTTTTATCATTACGTCATTTTAGTGATAATTATTTATTAAATCAGTACAAAAAGTTGTTTTATCTTTTGCAATACCTGTACTATTTTTAATACTTCAGTTTACAACACAAGAAGGTGTATATCATAGCTTCATCAACAACTGACATGCAGTATTATTGGTTAAACAATTTGCATAAAATTTTTAGTTCAAATATTGTATAAAAATGCCGCCTTCTGTAAAATACTGGTGGTTGTTGTTAATTATTTTTTTACCTTTATTTGTACAATGATATAGCCTTCCATAGAAAGCCTGTGGTGTAGTCATTCATACCATACCTATCATCATCTGGTGTCAGTTCACCTCCATGTTTTTTTTAATTCAATATATATATCTAGATATATATATATTTCGAGGGTATTGCATGCATCTGTATTCCTGACCAATTTCTCATGGATGTTGTGTTTGTATATGGGAAGTTTTCAAATTTATTTTTTTGTTGAATGCAGAGTTACAAAGTGTCCTGATGTTTCTATGTTTTTAATAAAGCTAAGTCATTCTTTTATAATCACAAAGCAAATCTGGTGTTGTTGAAAGCTTATTTCAATTACAATAGTTTTGTATTTAATTTTGATAAAACACACACACAAAAAATGTATCGCACCAGGCATTAATAGTGTTATCAGTTACATTTTATGGATTGGTCACATGGTTTTGCTGCCTTGATATTTGAAATACTTTTTTTTTCTGATTTTTAAAAATATCTTTCTAACACTTAACACTTTGTGTAAGAAATTCTTCAGCAAATAAAGACTTTCAGTAGTAATCCTTGTACTAATTATTTACTAATTATATGATCTTTATAAGATTCTGAACTAATTATTTGATTTGATGGTTTTCTTTTGGTTACGACAACACTGTCAAACAAATATGCCCATTACTGTATTTATGTGGCAATAAGTCCATGCTTGGTATTAAGCCCATCCACATCTATTGCTGTGTCAATTGAAAACAGATGATATACCATTGTCCAGTAATACGGCTGATCTTACTTTGAATCAGAAGTTGTTTGTTGGCCCTTGAACTTATTGCAGGTTAAATACAGTATACTTGGTAAGATGTAACAACAGGTCTCAAAAATACAGTAAACAAGGCAAGCCAACCTGAATAACTTCATCAACACTAATCAAGGGCCACAACTCTATACCATGGTGAGGCATACAAGTTCATTTCAATATGTATATCCCCAGTGATACTTAATCCATAAACAGTTATGAATTGTAGCTGATATGTACATTTTTGCTTCAAAAATGATGTGCAGGGAACCTAGTTGCAGATAATGTAGAGTAAGAAAAACTACCAAAGGTTTCTAACCTACACAACAGTAGTAGTGTTCTAACCTATACAACAATAGTAGTGTTCTAACCTATACAACAGTAGTAGTGTTCTAACCTATACATCAGTAGTAGTGTTCTAACCTATACAACAGTAGTAGTGTTCTAACCTATACAACAGTAGTAGTGTTCTAACCTATACAACAGTAGTAGTGTTCTAACCTATACAACAGTAGTAGTGTTCTAACCTATACAACAGTAGTAGTGTTCTAACCTATACAACAGTAGTAGTGTTCTAACCTATACAACAGTAGTAGTGTTCTAACCTATACAACAGTAGTAGTGTTCTAACCTATACAACAGTAAGAGTTCTAACCTATACAACAGTAGTAGTGTTCTAACCTATACAACAGTAGTAGTGTTCTAACCTATACAACAGTAGTAGTGTTCTAACCTATACATCAGTAGTAGTGTTCTAACCTATACAACAGTAGTAGTGTTCTAACCTATACAACAGTAGTAGTGTTCTAACCTATACAACAATAGTAGTGTTCTAACCTATACAACAGTAGTAGTGTTCTAACCTATACATCAGTAGTAGTGTTCTAACCTATACAACAGTAGTAGTGTTCTAACCTATACAACAATAGTAGTGTTCTAACCTATACAACAATAGTAGTGTTCTAACCTATACAACAGTAGTAGTGTTCTAACCTATACAACAGTAGTAGTGTTCTAACCTATACAACAATAGTAGTGTTCTAACCTACACAACAGTAGTAGTGTTCTAACCTATACAACAATAGTAGTGTTCTAACCTATACAACAGTAGCAGTGTTCTAACCTATACAACAATAGTAGTGTTCTAACCTATACAACAGTAGTAGTGTTCTAACCTATACAACAGTAGTAGTGTTCTAACCTACACAACAGTAGCAGTGTTCTAACCTATACAACAGTAGTAGTGTTCTAACCTATACAACAGTAGTAGTGTTCTAACCTATACATCAGTAGTAGTGTTCTAACCTATACAACAATAGTAGTGTTCTAACCTATACAACAGTAAGAGTTCTAACCTATACAACAGTAGTAGTGTTCTAACCTATACAACAGTAGCAGTGTTCTAACCTATACAACAGTAAGAGTTCTAACCTATACATCAGTAGTAGTGTTCTAACCTACACAACAGTAGTAGAGTTCTAACCTACACAACAGTAGTAGTGTTCTAACCTATACAACAGTAGCAGTGTTCTAACCTATACAACAGTAGTAGTGTTCTAACCTATACAACAGTAAGAGTTCTAACCTATACAACAGTAGTAGTGTTCTAACCTATACAACAGTAGTAGTGTTCTAACCTATACAACAGTAGCAGTGTTCTAACCTATACAACAGTAGCAGTGTTCTAACCTATACATCAGTAGTAGTGTTCTAACCTATACAACAGTAGTAGTGTTCTAACCTATACAACAGTAGTAGTGTTCTAACCTACACAACAGTAAGAGTTCTAACCTATACAACAGTAGTAGTGTTCTAACCTATACAACAGTAGCAGTGTTCTAACCTATACAACAGTAGTAGTGTTCTAACCTATACATCAGTAGTAGTGTTCTAACCTATACAACAGTAGTAGTGTTCTAACCTATACAACAATAGTAGTGTTCTAACCTACACAACAGTAGTAGTGTTCTAACCTATACAACAATAGTAGTGTTCTAACCTACACAACAGTAGTAGAGTTCTAACCTACACAACAATAGTAGTGTTCTAACCTACACAACAGTAGTAGAGTTCTAACCTATACATCAGTAGTAGTGTTCTAACCTATACAACAATAGTAGTGTTCTAACCCATACAACAGTAGTAGTGTTCTAACCTATACATCAGTAGTAGTGTTCTAACCTACACAACAGTAGTAGAGTTCTAACCTATACAACAGTAGTAGTGTTCTAACCTATACAACAGTAGCAGTGTTCTAACCTACACAACAGTAGCAGTGTTCTAACCTATACAACAGTAGCAGTGTTCTAACCTACACAACAGTAGCAGTGTTCTAACCTATACAACAGTAGCAGTGTTCTAACCTACACAACAGTAGCAGTGTTCTAACCTATACAACAGTAGTAGTGTTCTAACCTATACAACAGTAGCAGTGTTCTAACCTACACAACAGTAGCAGTGTTCTAACCTACACAACAGTAGTAGTGTTCTAACCTATACAACAGTAGCAGTGTTCTAACCTACACAACAGTAGCAGTGTTTAACCTATACAACAGTAGCAGTGTTCTAACCTACACAACAGTAGCAGTGTTCTAACCTATACAACAGTAGTAGTGTTCTAACCTATACAACAGTAGTAGTGTTCTAACCTATACATCAGTAGTAGTGTTCTAACCTATACAACAGTAGTAGTGTTCTAACCTATACAACAGTAGTAGTGTTCTAACCTATACATCAGTAAGAGTTCTAACCTATACAACAGTAGTAGTGTTCTAACCTATACAACAGTAGTAGTGTTCTAACCTATACAACAGTAGTAGTGTTCTAACCTATACAACAGTAGTAGAGTTCTAACCTATACAACAGTAGTAGTGTTCTAACCTATACAACAGTAGTAGTGTTCTAACCTATACATCAGTAGTAGTGTTCTAACCTATACAACAGTAGTAGTGTTCTAACCTATACAACAGTAGTAGTGTTCTAACCTATACAACAGTAGTAGTGTTCTAACCTATACATCAGTAGTAGTGTTCTAACCTATACATCAGTAAGAGTTCTAACCTATATAACAGTAGTAGTGTTCTAACCTATACAACAGTAGTAGTGTTCTAACCTATACAACAGTAAGAGTTCTAACCTATACAACAGTATTAGTGTTCTAACCTATACAACAGTAGTAGAGTTCTAACCTATACAACAGTAGTAGAGTTCTAACCTATACAACAGTAGTAGAGTTCTAACCTATACATCAGTAGTAGTGTTCTAACCTATACAACAGTAGTAGTGTTCTAACCTATACAACAGTAGTAGTGTTCTAACCTATACAACAGTAGTAGTGTTCTAACCTATACAACAGTAGTAGTGTTCTAACCTATACATCAGTAGTAGTGTTCTAACCTATACAACAGTAGTAGTGTTCTAACCTATACAACAGTAGTAGTGTTCTAACCTATACATCAGTAGTAGTGTTCTAACCTATACAACAGTAGTAGTGTTCTAACCTATACAACAGTAGTAGTGTTCTAACCTATACAACAGTAGTAGTGTTCTAACCTATACATCAGTAGTAGTGTTCTAACCTATACAACAGTAAGAGTTCTAACCTATACAACAGTAGTAGTGTTCTAACCTATACATCAGTAGTAGTGTTCTAACCTATACAACAGTAGTAGTGTTCTAACCTATACAACAGTAGTAGTGTTCTAACCTATACAACAGTAGTAGTGTTCTAACCTATACAACAGTAGTAGTGTTCTAACCTATACAACAGTAAGAGTTCTAACCTATACAACAGTAGTAGTGTTCTAACCTATACAACAGTAAGAGTTCTAACCTATACAACAGTATTAGTGTTCTAACCTATACAACAGTAGTAGAGTTCTAACCTATACAACAGTAAGAGTTCTAACCTATACAACAGTATTAGTGTTCTAACCTATACAACAGTAGTAGAGTTCTAACCTATACAACAGTAGTAGAGTTCTAACCTATACAACAGTAGCAGTGTTCTAACCTATACAACAGTAAGAGTTCTAACCTATACAACAGTAGTAGTGTTCTAACCTATACAACAGTAGTAGAGTTCTAACCTATACAACAGTAGTAGAGTTCTAACCTATACAACAGTAGCAGTGTTCTAACCTATACAACAGTAAGAGTTCTAACCTATACAACAGTAGTAGTGTTCTAACCTATACAACAGTAGTAGTGTTCTAACCTATACAACAGTAGTAGTGTTCTAACCTATACATCAGTAGTAGTGTTCTAACCTATACAACAGTAAGAGTTCTAACCTATACAACAGTAGTAGAGTTCTAACCTATACAACAGTAGCAGTGTTCTAACCTATACAACAGTAAGAGTTCTAACCTATACAACAGTAGTAGTGTTCTAACCTATACATCAGTAGTAGTGTTCTAACCTATACAACAGTAAGAGTTCTAACCTATACAACAGTAGTAGTGTTCTAACCTATACAACAGTAGTAGTGTTCTAACCTATACAACAGTAGTAGAGTTCTAACCTATACATCAGTAGTAGTGTTCTAACCTATACAACAGTAAGAGTTCTAACCTATACAACAGTAGTAGTGTTCTAACCTATACAACAGTAGCAGTGTTCTAACCTATACAACAGTAAGAGTTCTAACCTATACAACAGTAGTAGAGTTCCCACCTACACATATTGACAGCAGTAGAGTTCCCACCTACACATATTGACAGCAGTAGAGTTCCCACCTACACATATTGACAGCAGTAGAGTTCCCACCTAC